TTTTTTTTTTTTTTTTAGATTCCATATATATGTGTTAGTATTTCTATCATCCAATCTTTTTTCCTAGGTAGGAGATGTTCTTTTATAAAATCTAAATTACTTTTTAAAATGAGGCATTTTTTTACAGCTGGTCATAGACTCTTAAGGAAAAGAAATATATCCATAGGCAAAGGAAAAAATTATCCACATTCCTTAGCCATCTTTGATACCAGGAACTTACATCACCATCTTTTTAGCTTGGAATAAATTGCAAAATAAATTAATTAACATTGTTTCATCAAAACAGCAGGCCACTAATTACTAAATAGTGCACTGATAAACAGATTTGTTTAAAGTAAAATTGCAGTGTTTTTTCAAATATAGCTTCAAAAATACTGTTATAGACACTTTTTGAATTGAGGTAGTGTGTATATATGTTTTATATTTCATGTTAACGTAGACAAGTTCTATTTATATTTTCTCCTTGGTATTTAAAAGACATTATGAAAATTTTCAGACCTACAAAACGGTATGTAAACAAACACACATATGTGTACCCATCCGCTAGCTTAAGAAATGGAACATTCTTGTGAACATGAGCGCCGGTTCATTCATTCTTAGTGCGTATAGTATTACATCCAATGGCTACATTCTCCAGTGACGGATAGTTAAGTTTTTCCCAAGTTTTCACTCTTACAAATAATGTTGTTCTGAATATTCTTGTAAATGTATACTTGAACACAGATGAGCATAATTCCCTACGGCATGTATATCTAGAAGTGGAACTGCACCTTCAACTTTTCTAGGAATGGCCAAGTAGCTCTACAAAGTGAATAAACCATTTTACACTCCAATATCCAGTATATCCTTATAATTTTATCACTGTAGTTTACAAATTTTGAAACTCTCATTAGGTACACGGTGAGTATATGTTAAGTTTAAAACGATTCTACTCCTGGAAAATAGGACCTTTTATCATTTTGAAATGACCTTCTTATTCTGTAATCATCCTTTTTACCTTAAAATTAATTTGGTATTAATATAGCTATAAAAGTTTTTTAAAATTAGTATCTGCGGGAGTTTGGGAGACTTGTTGAGACGTTGGTCAAAGGGTACAGATTTGCAGTTGGAAGGTGAGTAAGTTCTGGAGATCTGACGCACAGCATCGTGAATACAGTCAACTGCACTGCAGTATGCCGTTGCTATAAGTTGCTAACAGCCTAGATCCTAAATGTTCTCACCGCAAAAAAAGAAATGATAATTACATGACATGATGAAGGTGTTAGCTAACACTATGATGTAATCATACCACAATATACAAATGTATCAAATCAACAGGTTGCATGCCTTAAACTTACACAATGTTATATGTCAACTATATCTCAGTTTAAAAAAAGAGGCAAAAAATAAAATTAGGATTTGCCTGGTATATTCACCTTTTTACTTTCAAACAGTCTATATATCCTGAGGTATGATAAGCATTTGTTGTAAACAGCATACGACTCAATTTTTTTAACCCAAACCAATGGCACTTTTCTTAAGATAGTGAACTTTGCTTTTTAATATTTATTATCATTTAAAAATTATATTGTTATAATAGAATTTAATTGCCATTATAATAAATAAAATACAATATTATATTTATCATTATTAATAATATATTTAAATAAATTTCTAACATTTAATTTTGTGTACATAAATTTCTAACATTTTATTTTGTGTACTGCTTTTATCTTGCTTGTTTTCTAAGGTTTTTTCCCCTGTATTTTCTTTCATGTTTTGGATTTCCTTTCCCCCCTGCATTATTACAGAACTTACAAACTCTATTTCTATCCTTTTACTGGTTATCCTTAAAATTTTTTTACCATGTGCATTTAACACAATTAAAGTTATTTATTTTACCTCATATTAATTAACATGCCCTGTAGAATGCTCTGTCTTACATGTTATGTGTAGCAGTATTTCATTTGTATCTTGATTTTTAATGCCCAGTATGGAATCATTATTATTTTATACAATCAGTGTGGTTTAGCCCGACACACTTTAACAATTTCTTTACTTTTCATGCTTTCTGACATATTTGAATTTCCAAGGATCTGTTGATAGTAAATGCTGATTTTGATTGAAAGTGGCTTTGCTTCTCATTTGTCATTGAATGAAAGCCTACAACCCCAATTAGATCTTTCTATTTTTCACGTCTCTTAACCTGCCTTTGCCATTTCCATCTCTTTGTATCACACTCTATGTAATTTCTTTAGGATCAGTTGATCAATTCAATTCAGGTACGAATAACTTGCTACCTAATAGGATCACTTTGAGTTTTTAATTTCCTATACTGTAGTTTTAATTTCTAGAACTTTTTATTTGGTTCTTTTCAATTATGCTTAAATGTTTGATACAATCTTACTTTCTATTCATGCTGCTTATGCCTATTTAGAAATATTCTAGGCATTTATACAACTTTCTTCATCTGATAAATCGTTATCTTATTTGCTTTGTGGAAGCCTAGTTCTGCTATTTGTGGTTTCTCCTGTCTCGTGCTCATGGCTCTTGTTTCCTTGGGTGTTTCTGGAATTTGAAATCATGAGCTCATGTTTGGTGGTCTTTATCTGTTAAACTCCTGTGACCCCCAGGTTGAGGGTAAGTCCCTCCAGACAGCATTTGTGTTTGCTTCTGCCAGGCACTCCAGGATGCTATCAATCAGAGACCATTTTAGGTTTACTTCTTGCCCGAGGGTTTTCTGGTCAGGCAAGCATTTTAAGGCTGAACTCCAAACACACTTGAGGGAAGGACTGTGGTTACAAACTCTAAGGAGAACTCTTTCTCTAGCCAGCAATTACTTCAAGACATCCCGAGCATTTCTGTTTGCCAAAAGTAGATTATTTCTAGCCTCTGATTTCATTTTGAGCATAGTCTTTCTGGGGTCCCGGAATTATGGGGGGGATGTGGTTCCATCTTGCCCTTTAACCTGAACCCAGAGCTTGTCTCCTTTTCCATCACCATTAAAAACCAAGTCTTGAGTTTACCGAAACTGTAAACACCCTGCAAGGTGCTGCATCCTCAACTTGACCTCACCACTCTGGAGTTGGGTTTCAGTTTTGTTTGTTGGGTCCTGAAGATCACTTTTACTTTTTTTTTTTTACACATTCAGATATTTGCTGTTTGCTTTATTTTATCCAGCATTTGATAGCATTGTACGGGGTATCTTTTCCAGGAAATGGAGTCTACCATATTGCCAGAAATGGAAGTAACCGTATGTATAATTTTCAGGACATGAAAAATGTATTTTAATTTGACTGTTCACAATCAACAGGAAAAAAGTAATTGCGTTTTACTGGCAGTCTACGAAATATGATGTGTATGGTCTTTCCCTCTAGTCTGAATAAACACAATCTCTTTTCACATGTTGCATTATTCTTAGCATCTATTATTTCTTCAAATACTGCCTAGTTAAAAAAAAAATCTTTAAAAGGAAAATGTAGTTCTAAGTATTTAGATCAGGAATTTTCTGGGAATTCCTGTGACTGTTTATTAGCTTTTATTATATCCAAATGTTTCATGTAACTTAATTTTTTAAAGCATATAAAACATATCAATACAATGTATATGAGAAGGAAAAAAAAAGGAAAGCTTTTCTCCCTGCAATTTATCTGTAAAACGAGATCTTGTAAAGAAGTGAGAGGCATTTGACTGTGGCAGCTGCCAATGACAGGTAAATGTCTGGCAGAGAACAACCTAAGACAGGACCAACTAGCTGAATGACATCCTAAGAGAAGTTTCAGGGAAGAGAAGGCAGTGAAAAGCAAGTTCTGAGCATCACTGATTAAGACCATCCCTCTCACTCATTCCTAAATTTCCTCATAGCAGATACTGTCTAGGTAAGCACCCTAGAGGTGGCCCTATGGATACTGAGAGGTTCCCAGCCAGTATATGGAGATTCTGGTGGATTACAGGGGCTTTGCAGTTATCGCTAGAGGTTTGAAGTCTCAAATATGTTATGCATTGGCTTGGATTGAATAAATAATGTCTTATACACACACATACACTCACCCACATAGTGATATTTTCAAATGATCCTATTGGTGATTAACTCAATATATTCATTTACGAATGCCACTGAATTATATCACTTTCACTTAATTATTTTCTCCTATAAGACACTAAAAGTGCAACAGCCATCATGTGTTTCTATGTGTATGTTGGCAGGAAAGTGGGGGGTGAAATTTATAATGTCAGAAAGGTCCCTCCACTTCAGAAAGTTTGAGAATCACCGTTGGAAGAGGGACCCGTTTGATTAAGTAGCTCTGTATTTGCCTGGACTCTCTCTTCTTTACCGAGAACCATTTGTAGCCAGGAATTCCCTGGGGTTTTTGCTCTCAGATAAGCTCACAAAGGACCCCAAAATCACATTTCCCTGTCAGTCTAGAAAGAAGGGTT